AAGGGTTACTCTAATCCATTTGGGCTTTCCTTTAAGATGTCTTGAAGTGTTTAGAATCATGAAAATGCAGTCTTGGTCCCAAGTTTTCCTGCATGCATGGTCTAGGTTGTCTTAATGAGCTAAGAAGTTAGAGTTTTCATGTTGAGGACTTAATAGCCATGCTAGACCATATAGTTGGAAACTTTATGGTTAAGGACATCAGTTGAGGGCTAAATATCGATTTTGGATGAAAGAGCTTAAAGGATTAATCTCTTAATGGAATATGAGGATGGCAGACGCGTACGATAGGCGTACCAAAGGGTACGTTGCACATACGTGGTCGACCCTTGATTTCTAGTCAATGCTCGGTATGCCCCGCATATGTGTTGAGTACACCCGACATACTCAACTAAGTTAACTAGGTTGACTCAGTTGACTTTTGACTTTCACCAAGATTTTAACCAAGTTTGAGTTAAGGGTATTTTAGGTATTTTGAGATGTAGTCTAACTTTTGGTCACTGTTATATGTAATTGTGACTAGTAGAGTCGGATTTCGGAGCAACATGTTGTTGTAGCTATTCTCGTCTATTCATGAGGTGAGTCTCCTCACTATATCCATGGGTCGAAGACACTAATGTTGACCCATTATTCGGTTATATAGAATGCTAGCTGCTATGTGATATGTTTGTCCATATTATTGGGTTGAAATATACCCCATGCATAGCCCACTATTGTATGTTGGGTTGAAATACAACCCAGGGCAAGGCCCACTATGGCATGTTCGGGTAGAAATATACCCCAGGGAAAAGCCCCAGGGTGGGGCCCATATTTATTTATTGGGTTGAAATATACCCCAACGGTAGACCCAATTTTACTCTGATGATTTTGATATTGTATATTGTGAAAGTTTTGGAACAACTTGATGTCTGAAACTATTAATTTTAAAATGAAAAATTTTATCACTGCTTTTGGGACGTTACAAGTTGGTATCAGAGCCTTGATTTGAGGGATTCAAGCGTTTGAATGGTTCGTTTGCTTTGACCATCCGTTTGTGGGTGGTAAGCAGTGCTCATGTCAAGTTGTGTTCCCATAGCTTTCTGAAGCGATTGCCAAAAGCGTGAAGTAAACCTACTATCTCTATCTAAGATGATAGATTTTGGTACTCCATGGAGTCTCACGATTTCCTTGATATAGGTTCTTGTTAGTCTTTCCATCTTGTATGACTCTTTTATTGGCAGGAAATGAGCGGATTTTATCAACCTGTCGACTATTACCCATATGGTATCCAAACCATCTGTTGTCTTGGGTAGTTTGGTCACAAAGTCCATAGTAATCCTTTTCCATTTCCACTCGGGTATTACTGGTTATTGTAATAATCTCGAGGTCTTCTAATATTCTACCTTTACTTTTGCATAGGTGAGGCACTTGCTAACGTAAGTGGCAATTTCTGCCTTCATGTTAGGCCACCAATAATGCTGCTTGATATCCAAGTACATTTTATTTGAACCCGGATGGATGGAGTATCGTGTCTTGTGGGATTCATTCATGACTACTTCTCTAAATCCCCGAAGTTTAGGGATCCAAATTCGGTTCATGAAATAATATGCTCCGTTCTCCTTAACTTCGAAATTCTTTTCCATCCTACGTAATGCTTCGTCTGTTCTATTTTCTATCTTCATAGCATCGAACTGGGTTGCATTTGATTTGCGAGGACAGATGGGAGTGAATGGTTATTGAAAGTGTTTTGACACGATGATTTGAGTATTCTTTCCGACTCAAGGCATTAGCTACCACGTTAGCCTTGCCTGGGTGGTACTTGATTTCGCACTCATAGTCGTTTAGCAACTCAACCCATCTTCGCTGCCTCATGTGTAACTCCTTTTGATTTAAAATGTGTTAAAGACTCTTGTGGTCAGTGAAAATGGTGGACTTAAGGTAGTGCCTCCAAATCTTCAAGGCGAAGGCCACTGCTCCCAATTCGAGATCATGGGTGGTATAATTCACCTCATGTGTCTTTAGTTGTTTGGATGCATAAGCTATCATCTTCCCACGCTTCATGAGTACACAGCCTAAACCTTGATTCGAAGCATCGTAGTAAACTACAAAGTCCTCTGTTGCCTCTAGTAGTGATAGTACCAGTGCACTATAGAGTGCTTGCTTCAGAGTTCAGAATGAAGCTTCTTGCTTATCTGTCCATTCATAGGGTACACCCTTTTGTGTAAGCATGGTAAGTGGCTTGGCTGTTTTGGAGAAGTTCTGGATGAACCTCCTGTAGTATCCTGGGAGACCTAAAAATTGACGAATGTCTGTGGGTGTCGTTGGAATCGCCCATCCTTTAATGGCTTTGACCTTAGAAGGATCCACATGTATCCCTTCTTTACTAACCACATACCCAAAAAGTTCACGCTACGGAGCCAGAACTCACAATTAGAGAGTTTTGCATATAACCTTTCGGTCCGTAGGGTTTCCAAGATTTGTCGGAGATGTTGGCCATGCTCCTCTTCGCTTCAAGAATAGACTAGGATATCGTCGATGAAAACAATGACAAAGTTGTCGAGGAATGGTCGGAAGATTCGATTCATCAGGTCTTTGAATGCGGCAGGGGCATTCGTTAGACTGAAGGGCATTACAATAAATTCGTAATGTCCATAACGAGTTCGGAAAGCAGTTTTGGGGATATCCTCTTCCTGGACTTTGAATTGGTGGTATCCGGATCGCAGATCTATCTTAGAGAAATAACTCGCACCTTGAAGCTAGTCGAATAGATCGTCGATTCGCGGGAGTGGATAGCAATTTTTGATGGTGAGCTTATTTAATTCCATGTAGTCAATACACGTCCTAAAGGAAACGTCCTTTTTCTTGACAAAGAGAACCGGAGCTCCCCAAGGTGAAAAGATGGATCGGATAAATCCTTTGTTCAAAAACTCACTGAGTTGGCTAGACAGTTCTTGCATCTCCGCAGGAGCCTACCTATTGGGTGATTTGGCAATGGGTGTAGCTCCTGGCACAAGGTCAATTCGGAACTCGAATTGTCTTTCTGGGGGTATCCCTGGAAGATCTTCGGGAAAGACATCTGGAAAATCGCAAGCCATGGGGATGTCCCGAATATTGACCTCCTCCTTGGACTTATCCACTATGTGAGCGAGAAACGTCAAGTCTTTCTTTCGTAGATACTTCTGTGCCTTAATGTACGGGATAAGACGAAGGTTCGCACTGAATTTGTCTCCATATATAATTAGGTTTTCGCGATTTGGGAGGTGAAGGCGAACGACCTTCACGTAACACATAATTTCATCATGGTGAGGGCTTAACCAGTCCATGCCAATAATCACATCAAAACTCCTAATGTTTACAGGCATCAAGTTTATTTGTAAGACAGGATGATTTAAGGTCAGGGTACATCCTGCGTAGGTTTCCCCAGTTGATTCTGTTTTCTTATTAGCCATTTCCATCGTAAAGGTTTCATTAAGCTTCTAGGGTTGTTGTTTTAGCAAGTGCTTGAATTTACTACTCACAAAGCTTCGTTCTACCCTAGTATCAAATAGGATGTATGCATATGTGTGGTGTAGGAGAAACGTACCAGTGACAACAACGGGATCCTGAACCGCTTCTCCTTGACCCATGGTCAGCACTCTCCCTGCTCCTCCATTCCTGGGGTTGTTGACGTTGGGGCAGTTTCGGTGGAAATGCCAGTCTTTCCACATCCATAATAGGTGTGGCTTTCCCCAACATTGTTGCCGTTGCTATTGGTGTTGTTGTTGTTGTTGTTGTTGTAGTTGCGGTTATTGTTGTTGTTGTTTCCCCTGCTGTTGGTTCTGGGGAGGATAGGTCCTACAGTATTTTGCCTTGTGATCCTTTTGATCACAACTGGTACAATGCATATCTCTACATATCCCATGATGATGGAAACTGCATTTGTTGCATTTTGGAAGACTTCCAACATATGTTCTCCCTAGTGTTGGTGTTGTAGTTGTCATGGCAACATTGACATCAATAACATGTTGTTTCTTCGAGCATCCTTGAGTTGGCTGTCCGTTTTTCTTACTCTTACACTTTCGCTTCCTACTCTTGGGCTTGGGGTTTGGAGTGCCTTGATAGGCTTTCACTTGTTGGTTTCCGTGGTCATTACTTCGACTAGAGTTGTCAACGTTATTTCCACCTTTGCTGGTGTTGTTTGCATTGAGTTGTGACATAGCAGCGGTCACGACAGCTATTACAACAGCTTGGAATGTAGCATAGTCTATCTGCTGAATTGGTGTCTCACGGGTGTGCTTGTTATTTCTACGGGATGACATCTTTTTCTGCATGATGATAAGCAGGATCATAAGTAACAGTGGTCTTTTCCGGCTGTACTCTATACGTATCGTGTTTTCGTCGTCGGATTCATAATGTTTCACTCTACATCCCTATGATGTATTTATGATCGTAGGTAATTCGTAAATCTTTCTTGAATATTAAATCGTATTCATAGAGTTCATATGTTATTTCGGTAACAAGGTTCTTGGGAATCTAACGGTTTCGATGGTTTTTTTGTGCACATATGTGAAACCCATATTAAAACACATAGCATTTCCACTAGAAATAGTCATTTTTAATACAAGAAAATTTTCCTGAAGGGCATACAATCCATAGGAAAATGTACGATCCGACAGTATTATGACATAATATCAATAGAAACACAATACTAGTAGGAGATACGACTGATTCTACATACTGTAAAAATTATAATAGCAAATAGTAGACTATGTTCGGTCAGTTACGATGACGATGACACTTAATCGTCAAGCTAACATATCAGGAGTTTAGCCAGTTCATTCAACTCCTGGGTGATTACTTTTTCCCTTTTCACGGCTCAAACGACTCTAGCTTCGGCTGCAAAGAGTTGACGCTTGAGATTGGTTATTTCTTTCTCAAGAGAGCGCATGTAGTCTGTATCACTTTCCTGAATCGTGGTCTGATAGGGCTTTCGATGGGTGGGGTTTACTAGATGTCTCCTTAACGTCCTTTCCTTCATCTGACTCTTACTCAAATTCGTCATATTCGTAATCAGTGACCACATACTCTTCCAGTTCCACTCCGGGTCCCACCTCCTGACCCATTGCAAGGCCTCCTTCAGGATTTTCTTCAGGATTGTCATCTAGACCAACCTCAATCTCCCTATAGACTACTAGAGCTTGATAGTAAGAGTCGTCTTTTTTATTCCCGCCATATCGCCTGCGTAGGAGGTGTAGGTGTGAGAAGTGTGCGCATTGGGGTATATGAACTACTATTATTCCTAAGATGTTTTAGTTGCTATATAAATTGAGTTGATGTTCTCTTCTTGGTAACAATGGGTATGTTTTTAAGTTTACTCACCATCGCTATTTGCCCAGGGCATGTGATAGTTGTATTCCGGAGGAAATGTAGTTGATCAGGCTACATTCGCCCTTAATACAACTGTGAACCGTCCTGGCTTAATCGAGATGTCGGGATCCTCCAATCATCTTCTTTGAATGGTTTTTATGTTCATTTTCCTAAGTCGCACAAGTAAGAGTGTTTATTATTATATTTTTATTTATTTTTTTCAAAGTTATTTAGTCCCTTGCTGGGTTTATAGTTGCATATCAATGTGGTTAGATATGCCAGTTCACTATAAACAGAGCTCTGATACCAACCCGTCACACCCTCGAACCAGGCGGTGGAAACGTCTGAGGGATCGCGTGACTTAAATTGAATATCATCACAATGAATATACATGAATCATAGCATAAACATCACCATGCATTAATACATTACAACTGACATTGTTCGCATCAAGTACACTGTCTAAATATTACATTTCCATAGCATAAATTGTTTGAAAGTCTTCAAAACATAACATCCTAACATACTTGGTATTACTCTTCAGCTTACCTATTACCTGAGAATACAAGTTATTTTAGAAACGTCAACATATGGAATGTTGGTGAGTTCATAAGCAGGGTTGTTATGAAAATGTTTTGTGGAAATTGTAAAACCCAGAAAATCCGATGTTTTCTAAAAAGACAATTGTGTATACTAAAGTGTGAAGATCCATAGGTTTATGCATGAATGATTTCAAAACGTGTATAAATGAGAAGTTTTGCATTATAGTTATTGAAAATACAAGTGAATGGTGTTGATTTCCTTGAAAAACCGGATGTTTTCCGATAATATAATATAATTGATTCGAAGTGTTATACCGTCACAACAAATGATTTTGAACTCCCTTGATTACTCAGATAGCATTAGATTTTATTTATGGGAGTCATTACAACCATGCATGATAATGACTAGTTCGTCTGTCTTGGCATTCTAGCGAATGCCGGAATTTATCTTAAGATTTTGTCACCCTAGACTAGCCGAGTCTAACTGTAGCGAACAACTGAGGTGTGAGGGAGTCACCCACATACAAATCTATACATAAACTCTCGCTCTCCCTCCAGGAGACTTTGATTATAACTACAGAGTACGACCGATAGTTACTGGTGTCGCCCGTTATTACTCACATAATCCAAATGAATTTGATTAACCTTGATTAATGATCTGATTTTTGTTTACTTGAATAACCGGCAAGCCTAACAAACAAGGAGAAGAGGACCACGAGGTCCTACTAATCATGCTTGTTATATAAGTCTATCTAGTATACGAAGGACGCATTAGCCCATCTCACATATGATTTACTTGGACCTTACTAGCAATGGTAATGGGCTACTGAGGTCGAATAGCACGTAAAAGCCATTGAGGGTCCCTTAATTATGTAATTGGGTCACAGGAGGCCCAATAAACATTTATTATTATTATTAGGCCCAAAAGTCATGTTAATGGGTCATGAAGCCCAATAAGCATGATTAGAATCTTTCAATTTGAATATTTACTTGTTTTATGTATATTATAATTGTCGGAAGTTTGATTGGACAATTGTTAAATCGCAAAGGCACTAAGCTTGTCAATTGTTTATAACGATATTTGAAAATACATGTATATTCTTCATTCTATTTTCATAATTTATAATTTGGTATTTTTGACCCAAATATCTTAGTAATAACATAATTGACTAAAAAATAATAGTTTGACCTATTCAGCCCATCAAGTCATCGAATTTACAGATGTTTACCATGAAAACTATGTAGATCTATATTCTGGTACCTTAGATTTGAGTAAAGGGTTTAATAAACTAGAACTACGAGGAACTTGGAGAGTTCATAGAGGAACTCGACGAGTTGGCTCGAACATCCTTGATTCCGTTACAGGGAAGAGCTCGGTGAGTTAGAGGAAAACTCAACGAGTTGCATTGCATTTTCACAATTCTGTGATTCATGGGAACTTAGTGAGTTGAAGGGTAAACTCAATGAGTATAGTCAAATCAGAGCATTGTCTTTGAATTTGACTTGACCAGAGTTGACCCCTTAAGGGTTATGAGTGTGGAATGTTATCTAAGGGTTTGTTTTGCTTAAGGGAGTGAGTAGAGTTGATTCCGGGCAGAGACGTTTCAACTATCTTCTGAAAGTTAAGGGGGTTTTCTCCTGGTTTGAATGGATCGAAGTCACCAATGTTGGACCGTTATGTTATGTGTGCAGATTAGTAGCTAAGTGTGGGAAGGGCTTGTATCTTAGCATTATTTGAGTATGGATATGGAATTGATTGATACACTTGGTTATACTTGTCGTCTGCGTGATACTTGTATGTGTGCTTAGTAGCTAAGTGTAGGCAAGGCCTGTATCTTATAGGTAGCCTAATATAGGAAGGGCCCGTACCTTGTTGAGTGTGAGATGGGCCTGTATCTCCTAGTAACATGAATATGTGTATGGTATGTGGTAGTTTGGAGTAAATTCACTAAGCTTCGTGCTTATAGTTTTCTGTTTTGGTTTCAGGTACTTCTGGTAGCAAAGAGAAGAGCTCGGGATGATTGCATTGCACACATCATGATGTTTGGTCTAGGATGTTTACTCTGATGTTTTGATATGATACTCTGATTTGATACTATCACTTATGTTTTAGGATGGAATGATTTTGATAACTATGGTTTATTTAATAATTAAAAATGAAAATTTGATCATGATTTGTAGGATGTTAGAAGTTGGTATTAGAGCCATGGTTTCTAGGATTCGGGCACACTCTCGGGTGTGTCTGGAATGAAACTGAGGACTTGGTATGAAAAATTTGAAAAGAAAATCATTTTTATTAAAAGAATTTCCAAAAGAGGAAAGGGTGTGGTGCATGCAATCAGTCGAGCTCAAGTAAGTTCTCCCTAATTACCCATACATTTTTGTTATGATATGATATGCTTATGAGAACTACATGCAAGATTAGGGCTAAGGATCAAGGAAGGATTCCTTGTATGCCTGCTGCATGTGTATGAGAACTGCATGCTAGATTAGGGGCTAAGGATCTAGGAAGGATGCATTGTATTCCTGCTATATGTGTATGAGAACAACATGCTAGATTATGGGCTAAGGATCTAGGAATGAAGCCTCGTATGCCTATTGAATGAGCTTATTGAACTTCTTGCTAGTACTGATTAGTTAGTGATATGATTTCCTGATCAGGATATGCTTGGTTTTGTTTACTCAATGCTCAAATGTTGTTTGCTTTGTGCTTTTAAGGGTTCTAGCTATTTTTAACTAACTAGTAAACGAAGACGCTAAGTGACATATTATAAGGAGTAAATAATTTTAGAAGGTTATACTTACCCTTATTTCCCAGCTCTTGTTTGAGTGCAACCGTTGCATAGAGAGACCTCTCATTCGAAGAATTATTTGGTCTTTGTAATATGTAATAGTATTCACAAGCTAGTTGGGTAAAGGTAGCTGGGACTTCTTATGAAGTTGATGACGGAGAGTGGGACAAAGATTACCCTAGGCCAAGACTAGGATGAGATTAGCATTAAGAGCAGTAATAATGAAAGGGACTTGGTGGAGTTAAGGTAGTTCTTGAGAAAAGTACGGATAGATGTGGAAGGTAGTATAGGCCTATACTACTGAAAGGAGAGGATCCATACTCGAATCAAGGAAGGTTGATATGAACCTAGAGAACTCGTTTTATGTGAGATCCATCAAGTTATAATGAGTATTCTGATGATTTTCCGGTGTATTTTCAGTATGGTGATGCTACGTACTAGGCCAGTTCGCAGCTCTGGCGCATGCGAGGGATCAGGATCGGGCTCTAGAGTCAGGCAGCTCGGTGACTACATTAGGGAGTTCATCGACTCCTGTGATCTTCGTTATGGTCAAGGAGGCAATTTTGGAGATTTTGGATGAGACACTGGGTGCATTCCGCACTGAGATGGTGGCCATTATGAGGGCACACACGATGTCATTCAGGGAGTTCCAAGCTGGTGGAGCTCTAGAAAACCATGGGGATAAGGATCCCATTGGTAGCAGCAGGTGGTTGGCGGATGTCACCAACGCCTTTCACTCCAGGAGATGTCCCAAAACGGACAAGGTCTGGCTTGCTTCCTATCTCCTGAAGGACAAGGCATGTGATTGGTAGGAGGAGGTTGGGAATGCGGTTGGTAATGATGCCATTGAAGCTATGACCAGGAGCAACTTTTCGACCATGTTTAGGGTCGAGTTCACACCTGTAATAGAGGTACAACAACTTGTGTGGGAGTTCCAGGATCTTTGACAGACGACTAAGATGGTGACGGAGATCACCTCTATGTTTAGGGAGAGGGACCTTCTCTTTCCGAAGTATGTGGCATGCGAGGAGATGAAAAAGGCTTGGTACCATGAGATGCTAAGGAGTGACATTCAACATGTTATGATTCGGTCCAGATACAAGATGTTGGAGGACATGATAGTGAGGGCTCGAGAGAGGGAGATTGATTTACAAATGGAGAGGAAGAGGATGCAAGATTCGGTGTCTGGCGTGGAGGGCTCAGGCAAGAATCCTAAGGTAGATTCCTGAGGGAAGGGCCAACAGGGTCGAGGTTGTTGCGCCAAGTATGGGAGGATGTACGAGGGGTCATGCATGGCTGGTAGTTCAGGCTGCTTTAAGTGCGGCCAAATTGGACATGTTAGGAGGGATTTTACTGCTACCACCACCAGCAACACATTATTTTATCTGATTTGCTTCAAGTGCAATCAGATGGGCTACAAGAGGTCCTAGTGCCCGAGTTTAGCAGAAGCAGGACAAGTGGTGGCACCCACTCCTGCTACATTGAGGATTACAGATGGCCATCAGGGCCGGACAGAGGCGCTTATGGCGAAGAGCGGAGCCTTCCAGCTAACAACAAAGGAGGCACACCCGATGTTGTGACGGGTATGTATCTTCTCTTTATATCTTTATTCATATTGATTATTTATTATGTTTATGTGTTCCATGATAGGATTGTTCTTAGTGAACGACATATCTGCTCAGGTATTATTCATTTCGGGG